CAGCCTATGTTTTATAGGATCTATCGCTAACTGTATTTTTTTGTCCTTTGTCCCTCCTGCTTTTACTCATATTCAATTGAATAATTTATGTTGGAATCACTCTACTGACGAAGTCCAGCAGCAGCCCTGAATTAAGACCGTATGCAGTCTTCGATCGAAGCGTCTTAACCTTAGCTAAATTCTTCACGCACGTACAAATTCAATCTTCAGCGTTTCAAAATACCGCATCTAGCTGGTAATATTCTTTGAAAAAATTTAAAATTTATTCCAGTGAGTAACCTAGCATAAAATACTAGATTTTCAGCTAGCACTATAAGCCCGGTTATTGAGCAGAATTAAGCAAGAGCAAAATTGCTACATGTTGACCGGATTCTAACAACCACCATGACGTTTGCACCTCTTAGCCGATGAAATATCTCATTGTGTCTAAGACGGATAAGGTTCAAGACGAGGTGATGATGCTCAATGTACACAAAGGATACTCGAGATGGTGAATGCCTTATCACGGGCTTTATTCATGAGAGCCGTTGAACCGGTGATTCTTTCAACGGACGAAATGAACTTGTGCATCGTTATGCATTCTTTTGAGCTAATTTCAGGCGAAATCATGAATCCGACAAGTAAAACTTGCGATGCGCCACGAAACATTCCAGAGTGTAGAGGACGCAACAAAGAAAACAACAAGCTCAACTAATTTTGAATGTGTGGACGTAGCAAAAATTTTTGAAAGTCAAGAAAAAAAAGTTTTTGAAGTTACTCACACCGAGAATTATTCTTACTTCCCCATTTTTTTATCACTCGCTCTTTTTCTGATAAAAACACTGTTTCCTGAAAAAGTACAGTAAAGTCAAACAGTTTTAGCACTTCCCATAGTATTCCAAATTTGTCACTCAACAACGCTACTGAAGTACTGTAATTTTATCTTCCATTGCTAATCAGTTATTTCCATGCACCGTATTTTGCGAAAAGCATACAAAAATTTACTACAGTACCCATTATCAAGGAAAAGTTAAAATTCATTATCCAAAGAAAAAAAAATTCGTTCTTCCTCTTGTAACTGCGCTGATCGACTAACTGTAGCAATGCTCCGAAAAAGCCAAGGGTTTCTTAGTGTGAACAAGAATCGTACCCTGCGAAACTTTCGCCTAACAGTGGTACAAGTCTAAACACAATGGGATAAAATATCAGTACAAACAAAGTGTTTATCAAATAACAGCTTCATATATATATAAAAACTAAAAATAATCTATTGCACAATTGTGTAAAACACTACATGAATTTGCCCGAAAAAAATTAATAATTTTATTACATAAATGCGAGTAAACAGTATAATGCTTGTGAAGACCGAGCTGGAGCGTGAGGTGTGAAGGATGTTTTAAATAGGGCTTTATTGGCATGCAAAAACGTTAAATGATGTAGTAGTGAACAACGGCATTTCGAGAAGAAAGTGCTATGCTTTGGCAGTGTGTTACTACTTGAAAGATCGGCATCCAGCCGTATTCAATTGCCCATCAAATTCCGCATGACAATTGCCTAACTGAGAGTTGCTACTCCGATTCAGCAGAACGTTCCAAAATTTAACCCGAAGCCGTAAGAGCTGAATATACATTAGGCTGGGACATACAAAACGTAGCATTTCGCTCATATTACCAAAATTTTAAGTAAACACCCAAAACTTGGGCAATATGAGCGTGGTTGGCTTCCAGATGGAATTGTGTGCGGTTTCGATACAAGAAATAACCTCCGAAGAAATTTACTTTTTATAGTTTCGGTAATAAATTCTGAAGGAATCATCAGCTCAATATCTGGTTTCGAAATGTCATTAATGTTTGTTGAGCATTCGGCATAAAACGAAGTGCCTTAAAAATAACAATAAAACAATGAGAGATAGAGCAAAGATGGAAAGATTGTGCTGCTCGTGCAATCCGCTGATTACCATGGGCACACACTGTACTCGTGGTGGTGTGTGACTAAACAAATCACTTTAAGCAAATCCCCAGTTTAACTGGGGGACTTATATATAGTATTGTTGGTTGAAACAGTCACTCAAGAACAAGTAGACGGTCTGTAAGAACTCTGTTATTTTTTGGATGTGCTTTTTGAAGCGCTGTGGAGTCATATTGAATGAGCATGCTTCTCATGCACGCTGTAACACAGAAGAGTTGCTCGCATTCACTTAACTTGTGCACTCAGTACCGCAAATTTTACATGAAGAAATTTCCGCTGACTGGTCATCCTTCACTGAAAACGATCTGGATATCCTTTTTCCCGAATTAACGATATTTCCTCCAAAATTACATGGTCGTACACAAGAAGCAGGCTCAGACACTCAAGCAAGCTCCGGCTCCAAAACTTTTC